TGTATGCAGTCGGAAATGAGTTGGAATAATGCACAATCAATAGCACACATACTCGAATTTCTGCCAAGGAAATTTTTCTGGGGCTTGCTTGCAGTACACGCCTTTCTAAAATATCGTTTATTTTTAATAGACAAGATCTGGAAGCTTGGAAAAAGTTTAAATGCCGTTGCACAAACAATCATTCTTTTGTTGCAATGTTTCACATCTGTCGTAAACCTTGTACAGTTTGCTAAAGCTATAATGTACTGCCGTAATAGACGTTGGCAGTTCCTTCAACAAACCATGTGAATCTTAAGCATCAACGCTTGGATCGGATCACTTGCCTATTACATAACAAAGAACCAAAGATTACTGTTGTATATCATTATTTGCGGTTATCCACGCATCGCATGAGTGGTTCGTGCATATGCTATGCTATGAATAAATTTAGTGCATCGAAACAGGCATTCTGATACGTGGTCCGTATCATTTCACCGACAATCATTTCACCGGCAGTTCATTTCGCCGACAATTTATTACCTACAAAGGATAATTTTGAAATAATGTTGAACATTTGTCGGTCGGTGAAATGATTGCCTCCCTTCTGATACAGACCCGCCAATCTTATAACAAAAAAAGATAGCTAAATGTATTGAGTACGTAAGCAGATTTCTTTACCAGGGAGACAATCACCAAAAAGCGATTTCCGTGGACCAATGTTTTGTCTTGTTTTATTTAATTGGTAACTTTTAGTTTTCTGCGATCTGTACATAAACTGTGTACAGTCGCACCTGTCTATTTGCATACTGTCGGGACCGGTAGATTTTTATCAAATAGACAGAATATGCAAATATACGTTATCACATGATTTGATACTATTATTATGTCTTCTCATACAATACGTTATCGCAATCATTTTTTATGATGAAGAACACTACATCAAGCAATCAACAACGCTACCAAATCTGTTTAAAAAGCAAAAAAGAATTAATGAAGTGGTGTATTTGGTAATTTTTTACGCCACAATAATAATATAATTTAGATTAATCTGGTTGATCTCTCCTTTTGTAGTATGCATATGCAAATATACGTTGGTCGGATCTACTACAGTTAGGATCCACCTTTGATGCATATGCTATGCAAATAGCTAATAGGTCCCAATAAGGAACTGAGGCTCCTTTATGCAAATGAACATAATATGCAAATAGACAAGTGCGACTGTACCAGTGACAATGACCACACCATGATAAATTTATCGTAGTAAATGACGGCTAATTATACCAAATATTTAATACATCTTGACCTCGTACATCTTTGTAAACAAATAAAGCATAAAACTTCTAGAATTTCGATACCGTAATGTTAGAAAGCACAATGTCAGTAAATTAAACACGTGCTACACATGTAATATGCTCACGTTTCATGTTAAACCATATGCCTTAACATGCGTGAAATACAACCCGATTTGTCAATATTCGGAAAGTACAAATTTACTAGGCGTGTACGTTTTAGACTATGTAATAGAAATTGCGCTAATTTGAATAAATTTTACAAACAGTATTATATAGTGCGGATTGGTGTAGATAAAGTTGTTACGTGACGATATTTTCTTTCAACTATATTTGGAACTACAAATCAGACTGTTAGTGTTTAGTTGTTCTTTATTAGCACAACAAATTCGCAATAATAAATCTTCACTGAAAACTAAAAATTGATGTAAAGGGTGGTTTCTAACGTAACGCGTACATTTAACCCGTTTTTGGAGAGATTAATAATTAACACAATAATTTGCAATAATGTTATCTAGAGCAACGGTTGTTAGCAAATTTTTTTTAGCTTATAATTTTATAACCGTGTAGGCTTTTTTTATTCTAACACATATATGCAATGTGAATCTTAATGCGCATGTATTACATATGTCTACTATTCTATTAGAAATTATGAAATAAAAGTTTTAAATTAGATTAATTGCTCGCTGAGCTTTTTGCAAGTACTTGGCTGATATTTTGTACAAATAAGTTCAGGTGTTCCGTTGTCTGCCAAATAATAAAGAGGAAGCAATAATTAGTTAGAAGTTTATGTAGCATTATAACGTTATTCATTTGTAGATAACTTCTAATTGCTTACCCAGTCAGCAAACATTGTCTTATTGTTACCGCTCCCTTCGTCTTTGACTTCTTGGTGAACGTCGTCCACGCTCGTCTTTAACTCATCCACTAACTTTTCGACTTTTTCTAATTTACTTTCCACGGCTCCAAGCTCCTTTTCCCTCTGTTGGCATTTTTTACAAACCTTTTTGGGTTTACTTATAGCTTGTCTATTGCGTTGTTTGACCGTCATAATCGGATTATGTCCTGTATAGTCAGTTTCCCTCGATTTACGCCTCTTACGTTTGCGTAATGAGGGATTAGCCACAATTTGTGTGGTTTCAGAAAGATTGATGTCTTGTTTCTCGCGACTCATTCTGATATTAGAAACATCAGCGTGGCAAGTGTCCCAATTATATTTATAAACAAAATGTTGCTTGTGATACAGCATTTCCTATAAACAAATAAGCGGCCGTCAATGCCGACCAACTAAATATTCAACAAATTACCTAATACCGTCTAGTCATAAAATAGCGTCATAAAGAGTTAATAAGTTATCTATTTCAGGGGTCGTATTAAGAAACCCCCATGGATATTCCGTCAATTAGAACCATTTTGTTTACCCTTTTTTCAAAGCGCCGATAAACCCGATAGTCATCATAGCACTTGAAATTTGTACCGATTAAGTAACTGGTTATTTATATTATTCCTATTTTTAGACACCAATCAAAATGCACCACATGTTCAATTATTGAAAATTGAGTTCTTTCATGACACCTTATGTGAGAAGAAAGTTGTCAAACACGTATGAATCGTAGACTTGTTGAACTATTTTTGTATTAACATTGCAGAAAAACAAAAAAAAAAACACAACAAAACGGACCGTTCCTCACGAAGCATTCTCTTTCGCTTATAACTTAAGGATGATTGGACCGCACTTTGAGAAAAATTAAATTTATAATCAACAAGATCTTTTTCGCATGGCTTAATTTAGAGCACATTCGCCTTAAATACAAATTATAAAAGACGATCAAACATTCGTACAGAATAAACAAGTAACTCTTGTCTCAATCGCGCCGTATTTTCTTTGGTGTTCTAAGATACCATATGCTTCCATCAAGGTGTTGCAGATTTCAAATCCAATTACAATTCTTGCATCATCAGACAGAATAACAACGACAGTTTTTAAGTATACATTTTTGGATAAACAATTAGACGTCAAAAGATAGTTGATTGTTTATGCTCGTGCCGTGAGCCGAGAACTCGTGATGATATCCACTTTCTATTGAATAGCTTTTTTCGTATGCATGCAATAAGGCAATTTAAACCGACTTTGAGAATACTGTGGTTAGATAAAAAACAGTAGTAAAAGTGTTCTTATAGAGGCTATCAATAAGTCATTTATTGCTTGATTGAAAATAGTCATATAATGACACAATGGTTCTTACAAAATATAAATAAAAATGACACAATCGCCTTTCTATTGCTTATTTGTTTTATTTGCAGAATTAAGGGGGGAAAACCTTAACGCTTTGTTATGTAATGCCCGATTATAGTGCGTTTGTTAATGTCGTTTGTTAGACATAACTTATAGAATGCTGCGCATAATAGTCAGTATATAATGACGTTATGTTTGCTCAAGGATAAAGAAAGTCTACGCTTTTTTAATTCATATTAAGTAAATAAACTTAAACTATTATCACTGCGAAAACGTTTCTTTCAGTCATCGTTATACAAGATTGACGCCACGAACATCTAAATCTAGCAAGACTGTACGATAAATAATTGGGTCAATGGTTTAAAGACTGTTGGATATTATCAGTCATTGACCTGATAAACCATCAGAAAAAAAGGTAAAAAAGTAATGTGTACGCTTGATAAAAAGTTTATCAAATAAATAAAACACATTATGTGTGATGATAGAGTCGCAATTCCTTTTCCTTCATTGGGAATGAATTCTGAACTCGGGCGGCTCCCTCTATCGAAACACTTATTTGTAATTTAAGTTTAAATACAGTGGCATTGTTTGCGGCATTAGGAAATAACAATTACATGAAACAATCTAATGAATGGATAATATTCAAAGAGTCGGATGTTACCCAGATTGAACAAACAAATAGATTGACAACTTTTAACAGGAGTTATTATGTCATGTATAATATTCGACAAACCCGCACGGTTGTCGAAATTCACTCACACAAGCCGTTCTTAACGGCCTCGGCCTAAGGCAAATGTATTAAAATTTACAAGCAGGTTCTAATTATAAACCACCAATCGATTGATTGTGTAACATGCAATATGTGGCTTTGCCCCGGACATATCCATAATAATAAGCATTTAAATTTGTAATACCAATTATAATCATGTGGCCAAGGGCAACTCGACGTATTCCTTGTACTAGTATCCGGGTAATAGTAAGGGTAATTTGTAATCGAAAAACACTTAAAGTCGTTTCTACGGTATTTGTTATCATGTCAACTTATCGAACTTTGAAAAAAAACCAACATTCTCCATAATCACTGTGTAAACGATTACTCTATAATGTTTTTTTATTCTTTACATGTTCAGAAATGGGCGGTGTGATGTGATATGCAATGGTACAATAATATGCTTGACTGTTTTCCAAAGACAGCTCAATAAAACCATGTGATTATGTCTTGGTATATTGGCAATATGTAATCGAATTTTCTATCGTTACAGAGATGAATTAAGAGATGTGAGGGCTATATTGAGAATAGCTAACATGTAATTTTGTATTACAACATTAAAATAGTTAATAGATAGAAGTCTTTGAAAGAAAAAAGTATATCAATCAAAGTACATTTAATTTATTATCCTGTACAAATGGGGAATAGTTTTAATTTGAATCTTCAACATATAATTGCATCAATGTTGGTTGATCTTTTGTGTTCAACTCTATTAATATTGCTCAATACCAAAGACTTAACTAATTCCAAAAATAAATAAAACGTACAATTTTTAATAATGCTATAACTTAATGTTTGAACAAAAAATAATAAGTGATTACATTGATGCAAAATAGATATAAATTTTTTTCACAAATATTTTCATAAATTAACCGATTCGAGTGGTATTTTTGCAAATCACCCGAATGGAATTATTTTAGGACACAGACATTAGGATGTCTGTGTCCGGCATAAAAAAAAATCAATGCACTGATCACCAACTTTTTATTGTAAATGACAAGGATTTGTTGATGACCGTGCAATAGCTACATTGTCTAGCTAATAAAAATTTTTTTGAAAAATAACTTTAAATTTGAAAACAAGTACAATAGCTATGTTATAATGTATGTCCACTCTCAAATTCTGCAAAAAAGACTGAAAGTTTTCTCCCAAATGTCTGTTTTTTCCTGACCGTTCCATAATGGCCCGATAGAGAAATAGGACGGTGGTCCCAACTCACTTCCGCAAAGAAAACCTTGTCTTCTGCGACACTTCGACTGGTGCTTGTCGGCCGTACGGACGAAACCTTTGTTGGCATTGATATATGGGTTTCGCTCCAAACTTGGTTTGTATTAAAACCAAAGCTACTCGTGCCGTAAACTGACCGAACGCCAAAAAGTCTATCCTTGAAATTTCCAAATCCAGGTACTGGTTTGTCGGTAATGGGAAAAAATTGGTAATGGGCAGCGCCAACGTTGATGAATTTACCGAAACGGATAAATCGTTTGCCGGATTTGACGGCACAAAACAAGGACATTTTTGTGTATTTCTAACCGAGAGTTTGGCAATTTGTTTAGAGAGTGGTCGAGTACAAATACTTTTGAGCAAAAGGCTTGGGTTATTTTGAGTTGTTTTTTTTTAAAAAAAAGGCTGTACCGCTTTGAACGTCAGAATTGAACTTTTTGCTCACATTTATAGTCGGTCGTCACTTTGGGACATACGGTACCGATTTGTCGTGTGTTATCAGTGCCGTTTAATACCGACAAAATAAAGCTTTGGATTACGTCGAGCTGCCTTGTTATTTGTAGTACAGTTAAGGGGAACGTAACTTAATGCTAAACATGATCATCTCAAAGATACCATCTTGTTCTTTTTTTTTAAAGAAAAAAGATAGATTTTAATTCATAAACCGCACGTTTTGCTGTAAACCAGTTGCTTCCTAATGTGTACAAAGGTAGTTTAGTTACGCTGAAACAATTCATGAGTTTGGTTATCGAGTAATTCGGTTAATTGTGAGTTTTCTCGCTGTTATTATCACACATTAAAATTGGAGCCGTTGATCAGTACTTTATTTGGAGTGATATTAATAATGCATGTAGCATGTAGTGCATTCCAGTATTTCGTCTCTAAATTTGGAACCATTTTGGCTTGTGCGATTACCGTCTACCGTCAACACAATAATATTATCAAGTGTCTACTCTGATGCTTCTTTGTGAGCAATGTCCAGCGGTTACACACACATGTGGTTCTTGTTTAATTGTCAGCGGATTGACCATCTATCAGCAGTTCAACGCTGATAATTAGAGAACCTTTGTTGGGTGTGCAATGAACGCAATTATGTAATGAACTGCATCAAATATGCAGTAGATTATACGTAAACTTTATCAACCTTTGGAACATTAATTCACAGCTGAATGTTGAGAAAGCATCTGTTGACCAAGATAATCTGTGTCCACTGATGAAATGATAGTACTACCCCAGAAATAAAACGATCGTGTAACTTGGTCTTTGCATTGTAGTTAAAGAAACAAGAATCGTCATTTGAAGAAGGTTTCTGCTGTATTTTCTCGATGACATTTGCCAAAAGAATACGGTGCAAGAAGTATTGTTTTCTTTGGCAATACCGATTATAACATATTGGTTTTTTATCTTGATAATGTGGAACGCAAGTACACAGCCAAAAAAACGATTACATAATCGCCAAAGTTGATTATCGAACCAACAATGCGATGCTGTATTCCCCTCTAAAACAGATAGTTAAAAAGTCATACAACGAACTATCATTTATCATGCAGACGAAGCATACCAAATAACAAAGTATCATGC